GACGTTTGGGAGAGCGCTCTCTAAAAAAAGCCACTAAAAAGAAACAAAATACGAGAGTTTCGTGAATCGACTCGAACACCTATATGACCGTTGCTACCTGTGACTATTGTGACGATTGTGAGAATAGAGCTAGCCTTTACTGCTGGGGGCCAAATGCTCCACTTCCCTAGAGGGCGGATATCCCTGGGTAAACCTACCCTCTGTGTCATTATCTCTGCTGATGCTACTCGCCTCTCTGGCTCTCGGCGCTCTGCATACTCCTTTAGCTGACGTTCTGAGCGAGTATAGTGCAGCACAAAGTACGATTGAAGTGTTTCCTCCTTCCCCCTGTCCTTGGGAGATATTCCGCAGGAACAGGAGAACAAAGATGCAAAGAGGCAGAAGCAGGGAAACGAGGGACATCGAAAGAGATAATAGCGCGTTCCTACATCGCGCTATTGGATCGCACGACTGGATCGCGCGATCGCGAATTATGAACACCCTCTAACAGCGGAGAGCGGAGGTTTACTGGGGGATATCTCCTGCTCGTGGATAAGTATAGCATGGCCCGCAGGAGTGGCGTTTTCAACTGAGAGCGACCGCTTCCACTGCTGCAACGCTGCCAATGGAAGGCATCGTTTATACTTCGCGATAGCAGCGGCGATTGTAGCGATCGCCGCGATCGTCGGTACAGGTCAGAGCGCGCCCCAACGCTATTAAGTGGACCACTCGCTCTGACAAATAAGGAAATCCACTTGTGGGACCTTTTTTTCTCTTAATAATGGCTACTAACTAAAAACTTTGTTTCTTCAAGAGGATCTGGGATATGAGGAAGGGGGTTTCATCTTTTTTTGAAGTCGGGATAGGGGCAACTTCATTCAATAGGTGAGTTTCTTTTTGTTTCTTTTGTTTTCATTGTTTCATTTTACATGAGTGTCTTTAAATTTCCTATTGGTTGAACTGTTCCAACTTCCAAAACATTTATAGTTTACAAGTCGAGTTCAAACAACGAAAAAAAAGAAATGGACTGAGATTCGCTCGGGAATGGAAATACACTGGTGTGCAAAACCTAGGGCGAGATGGATAAAGGTTAAGCATAAAACACTAATGACTGGGTGGAAGTAAATGAAAGTGTGGGAGCATGTTGCCACTCGCCTAAGGGGTATGCACTGGAAGCTAGACTTTTCTCGGTGGAAGAAGAGCTTGAATAAAGTGCCAAGTATGGCCGACCGCGCAAATCGAGGCACTGCATGGTGGTGGTCTCTTCGCCCGACGACCGTTACGTTTGGTTCCTTTGACCCCGGACTCGGCGAGACCGTTTACGGTGTGCCAGGAGCATAGCGAATCGACCAATGAGGAATGAAGCCGTGTGCACTTTTGGATAAGGCAGGTTCAGTCTGAGCAGTAATTCTGGACGCACCCTCGTATGGCGAGAGTGTTAACACGCAACCCTCCGGAAACATTGTCGAACGTGATCATACTGGTGGTTGAGGTGTTATGGTATGGAGGCATCATGTTGCATGGCCGTACTGACCTCCAGTTTTGGAGCATGGAACCCTCACCAGTCAGCGTTACTGCAACGAGGTTCTCCTACATCATGCCCGTCTTTTCAGAGCTGCAATCGGTTCTGACTTCATTTCATGGATGACAATGCGCGACCGCATCGAACAGCACAGGTGGAGCAGCTTCTAGAAAACGAGAGGATATCCGGCGAATGAAGTGGCCCGCCCGTTCCCCCGACCTAAATCCCATCGAGCACATGCGGGATGCATTGGGTAGACGCATTACAGCACGACCAAATGCACCAATGACGATCCAGCAATTGTCAAATGCACTGATTGAGGCGTGGAATGCTCTGCCCCAGGAACTCTTTACCAACCTCGTGGAGAGTACGGGATCGCGGTGCAGAGCATGTATTGCTGTCCGTGGTGATCACACACCCTATTAGGATCCGTGTAACTTCTTTTGTAGTACCAGGATAAATCGTGAAGACTTATACGTAATCGACGTGGTTGAATAAAAATGTCATAACAATTCGTCTTATTCCGAGTTTCTGTCAGTTGCTTTCTGTACAATATCGTTAAGGTTCTCCCTTGATATGAAATGAATTCATCCAGCTATGTTGTCTGGCAGAGGCACAGTGATCGAAAGTTGCTTTCGTCCCTAAGTTTTGCACACCAGTGTACTAATCTTCTATGCAACATCAGGGAGGAGGAAACTCCATTAATTCATGTATAAGCTCGAATGAAGAAAAAAGAAGCACTAAACTCTCCCTGAATAAAGGTCCCACGTTTTCAGCTTATTTATCTCCTGAATTAAAAGAGGAAATAGAAAATGAAAGCCACCAAGTCTTCCACTTTCCTTTGAGTCGAAACAGGCTTTCGTACCACAGACAATCGCAATTAAAAGAAAAAAAGCACGCTATCAAGCCGATTTGCGCTCCAAGTAGTAGCGTTGGGGCGCGCTCTTACCTGCACCGACGATCGCGGCGATCGCCGAGGTCGCCGCAATCGCCGCTGCTGTCCCGAAGTATGAACGCTGCCGAAGAGCGGTCAGCATTACAGCAAACTCTAGAGCATTACAGCAGACTCTGTTAAGTAACATTACATTGGAATTTCGTCTTAGCAGTCTTACGTAAAGAAAACAGAAAACTCTAGACAGCAACCTTTGCATCTGTTCTGTATAAGTGGTCAGCAGCGTCTTGGTTTGCCTAGGTTAAAGACACATGGTACGCTCAAACACATTGAGGGTGTATGAGACTATCAGCCCCCCAGGTGTCGATGTGTCGTGGTCCCCCCCCGCCCAAAACTGCACGGGGTCAGAGTACGGGACCGTGGGGAAGTCGTAATTCCTTGCTACACCGCCCGTTTCGTTTCTACTAACACCGTCCGCGCGGCGCGGTCGCGTGCAGCTCTTTTGGCTTTTTGCCAAGTCCTGTAATTGCGCTTTGGAATACAAGTACAACGCAATTTCTTTATGCGACATTTTAGGTTCTGCAAAAGAACTGAAGATGATGACGGGGGCTACAACTCAAGAGCAACTGTGCTGCTTCTGCAATAGCCCTCGCAGGCCGCGCATTCCCACAAAACCTCAAAATAAAAACGGCCTATGTCCTACTCGTTAGTTTGAAGTATTTCTATAGCATTAGAGCCGGATTCGAGTCTGATCGCAGAAATGCACAAGCGATTTTAATTTATTGCGTTTCCTTAGTTTTTCAATTTTGTTTATTTACATCTACATTCGTTGCTGTTCATTTCTAGCCTTTGTCCTCTTTATAACCTCCTATTCGGACTTTGAAGCATGAGCAATACCTCAAATGTTAGGAAATTGCGTTTTGCTTGTATTGCAATGTTTTATTGTCGTGTTGTCCGTTTTTACTGTCATGTTCTGTGGGAATGCGCGGCCTCTGAGGAATACTGCAGAAGCTTCACAGTTGCTCTTGAGTCATAGCCCCTGTCATCATCTTCGGTTCTTATTTTGCAGCACTTAAAATGTTATCCGCATAAAGAAATTGCATTTGCTTGTATTCCAAAGCGTAATTACAGGACTTGGCAAAAGTCAAGAGAGTTGCACGCGAGCGCGCCGCGCGGATGGTGTTAGCATAGACGTGAGGGCGGTGTAGCAAGGAACTACGACTTTCGCACGGCCCCGTACTCTGACCCCGTGCAGTTTTGGGCGGGGGACCACGCCCATCGACAGCTGGGGGGCTGATAGTCTCATACACCCTCAATGTGTTTGAGCGTACCATGTGTCTTCAAACCTCGCTCCACACAGCTGTTAGTCCGCCGTATGACCAATTGAGAAAGAGCATTGGTACGTGGAATGCAACATCTGCATACTGCGCGACAACGGGGACATTCGCACCACAGAACTGCGAAAATTGTTGTCTCAGCCAAGAAACTTGTGTTGAGAGAAAATGTGCTTGCAGGTGGTGGACTTGGGTGTGATGACACCTTGTGAGACAATAATCAAAACTGCCATTGAAGAGAACGCGGGTGAGTGTTTATTAAAATTTGCTCAGGATTACCCTGACGAACAGTTCTGGCGATATTGGTGAAGTTTATTTTACCCATAAGTAGGCAGCTTTGCGTTCGTTCAGAGCGGAATTGCGTTAAGCAGCATATCACACAAAAAATCAAAGCCTATAAAGCCTTCAGCCTCGCGGTTCACTGCCGATACCGTCGGACCGGCTCAACACGTTAGCGTGTGAGTGCAGTTTTAAGAGCACATCGGTGGCGCAATGAATAGAGCACTTGTCTGGTTAGCGGGAGATGCGGGCTCGAACCCCGCCAAGGGTCTGGCTTTTGCCCATAACTCAGCGTCCTTATGATAACTCAATTCACTACGTTTTCCCTTCCATTATGGTCCAGTAGGCTGATTTCTTCTCAGCTTTCTCAAATCATGTCAGCTGTCATCCCACTGATTGTCGAAAGCCCAAGCAACTCATCCCTTTCTTTGCTGATAACAACCATTCCTCAAACTGATAAGCGATAAAGGTGCTGTGATGGGAACACATGTGACAGGTTACGCGACAGAAAGGGATAACGACTGATAAGAGCTAAAAAAGGGGCGTTAGAAGGGGAAGGCCATAGCGCGCTCACGGTAACACTGGAACGCTGGTGCCGTGAAGTGATGCACGGGGCTGGACTGGAATATAATTTGTGGGCGAAGAATTGATAGCGAGTGATAAGAGCTGAATTGTGTGTCAGAATGGGAGCCTTAGCCCTGAACCCATTTACTCTTTTTTAATGGTGTTCATTGATTATAAGCCTGATTAGTAAGAGCGGATGGATAGGAGACAGTCTTTGGATCGCTCTTTTGCACTCTCCATCATTACACTGTGATTGTCACAGTTCACGTATTGATGGGCAGAGGCTCTGACGATGATCACATTTCACTCATTTCCGATAGCCATTGGATCCGAACCGATTTGACCGCTAACCTATCGAGTTCCAACAAAAACTAGATGTTCGGTGGAACGACGAGTGATGAAAGTAGATAATAATTGAGTATGTGAAAACTGCTTTGTCAAAGCTGCGGAACCTTTATTCTAATTTAGATACTTTTACCACTGGAACCCTTTCAGCCACTAAACCATTCGTATTTCCAACAAAGTGACGATGTTTCTGAAAGCACGATAATTTCTGGACATTAGCAATTGATCTTTAATGAGAGTAAATCGGCAAAGTATGGGTAGTTTGTGGTCACGGACATGGAACTCTCTAACAAAAGAAAAATTAAAGGCTGTTGGCACGGTAACTCGCCAAGACGGGTAGGACAAATACGCCAAGCAGGAATGAATTTGCCGCCCCTGAGCAAGCGCTGCGGGACGCCTTTTTTAAGGAAGGTACTCTTACGGCTATTGAGCTGCATCATATCGATTCAGACGCTTGTCGCGCCTGCCCGCCCACAAATGTCCGACCGATCCTGATGCTATCGCTTCATTTGCGAAGTACAGTTTGAAACGAAGAGACTGATATAAAGCGACTGCGGTGCTGCATGGATGTATGAGTGCATGCATGTACATGTTGCTGTATCTACCTTAACGGTTATTGGCATTGGATTTCAACGGGGCCCGAAATTGCATTCCGAGCTGTATAGAACAGAGGCTTTTTTGCGAATTTTTGACCGTTCACTTCGCGTTCTCGCCATTTTCCCGTGTGAATATTGAATTACCGTGCCAACTGCCTTTGAGCTTAGGAGTCGGTACAGACGTCCACTCAGTGATAGATTCTATAAGGTTGACCTGTGTGATAGCTTAACTGGTACGTGATAATACAAAATCTTTTCTGTTGTCTTGCAGGTTGTCAACATGTGTTTCAGATTTCATAGGATGCTCTGGTCTGATAACGCCCTCGTTGGATGAAATGGTCCATGTGGCTAAAGAAATGCAGCGTATCGGACTCAAAATACCATTGCTGATAGGTCAGCTGCATTACTCCTTGTACATTTCTCAATACAGGAACATTTCGATCTTCGCAACACATCACGGATCTTCGCCAGAAAGTTGGCAGTGAGAACTAATGCATGTTCAAATTTCATTGGAAACTTTCGCTGCACTGACAGCTTCATAAGATCCTAAATATGCGAAAATAAGCATGACATACAATTCTGAACGACAATGAGTAGATCGTAAGTAGAAGTAGAATCACTGACGTGCCCGTCAGTGATTTGGCTAGAAGAAGTGGGCGCGATGGTTTGGTGCGGACGATACCGCCAACGTTGCGAAAGGGCTGCCTGGGGTTTGATAAACCTGCTCCCAGCCGTCGCGTCCACTATAGGCTAACCCAATAAGTTCTATTGGGTTGGCCTATAAGAAATGACGTTTTTTTTAATCGTAATTTCGGCAATGTAGCTGAAAGACTTGCTATTGTGTTTTATATCGTTTTAAAAAGAATCCAAAATCTAGCTCTATGGAATGGTCTTTTCAGTTTTTTTTTGAAAATCCTGTTTCCACGAATTTTCAAGTGTGACAGGTCAACGAAATTGGGCAGAAAGGAAAATCAACTGTAACGGGCATGCTCCAGGCTCTCAATGAGTGGACAATGTATTTTGATAATGACATTGGAGTGTTCGTGATTTATTTAGACTTCGCGAAGTTTGACAGAGTGTCTCACTGTAAACTTATAACTAAGCTCAAAATAGATGGAATTTATCCCAGAATTGTTAGGTGGATAGAGAATCCTTTCTTACTGATAAAGTTTATCTTGTGCGCGATAATGCGGAGTTTTCCGAACCTAGGCCATTGCTCAGTGGCGTGCCGCAAGGAGGCGTTTTCTCTATTCTTCTTTTCAACATATTTACATTTGAATTACCTCTAGAGGAGTCAAGTGCGTCGCTTTTGTCGACGACCTCAAAATATATCACCCGATCTCATCTGACTTGGAGAAAATGCTAGTGCAAGCGGTTATCAATAAGGTTAGCATGTGGGCCAAGCAATGGGGCTTACCGCTATCTAGTGAGAAAACGAAGGTGCTACGCATAGGGAAAGTTGATAGCTCGTCCCCGTATTTGATTCAAGGGGTACGTCCAGATGAGGTCAAAGAAATCCGGGACCTAGGTTTATCCATTCGCACTGACCTAAACTTTGAAGCACACTGTTCACAAATCGCAGCTAAAGCAACTGTTGCTTTACATAACATGTTCAGGTCACTCCTAACCAGGGATTCCCTCTTATTATGTAAAGCCTACAAGACATACATTAGAGCTCTGTTGGAGTACGGGACAGTAGTTTTTGATCCGAATAAGAGGAAAAGTACCAATGCTTTAGAAAGGGTACAAAATAACTTTACCAGAAAGGTTTTCTTGATAGCGGTGGGATACAGGTACGAACAAATACCTACCAGTGTGGTGCGGAACCTAAACCTCAATTGGAGACCTTAGCTCTCAAGAGGAAAAAATTTGACCTAATTCTTTCCTCACAAGATTCTTCATCTACGCACTGGTATTAGACCCTCCACTCTTTTTGCTGTCAGACAGTCAATTACCAGAGGTGGCTCCAGAAAGCTGATTATTCGTCGAACTAAGAGCTTTATCAGACATCACTTCTTTAGACCGTCCCAGAGTTTAACAGACTGGTACGCTTGGGAGTGACCACGAGTAAACTGAGCGCTTTTAAGGCTGCTTTAGACAAACATCTTACATTATAAATACCTTGCAAGCATCGTTCATCTTATAAGTATTCACTATTTTCCCTTCTTGGCACGCATGGTTTTTTCTTTTTACCAGTTTTTTTCGCACGCACTTATGAATTCTGGTAGGTTTACACCTACGCTCTGAGTTCTAGTAGCGCTGTGTTTCTGTTTATTTGGTTTTGTGTTGTAGTGTTTTTTCTATTTTTTTTGCTTTTTTTCTTCTTCTTATTGACACCACACAGGATTAATTGTGTAATAAACAATTACAACAATTTTAGACAGCCTCTCCTGTTTGCCTTGAAGACAGCTCCCGCAGTAAAAGTGTCATGGATAGCTGCTGTTTAATTATAAAGCGGTATCTGATGAGTAACTTCGCAAAGACCAAAAAAGCAAGAAGAGTTCTTGAGAACACCATAAACAAAACCAGTCACACCGCCCCCCGGTCTCTGTGCTACTTGCTCACAAATCGTCATTGGCATCTCTCAGTGGTGGATATCATCAAATGCATGGAAAAGAATACGAAAAACGACAAAAACACGGGCAAAATACACTTGAGAAAATTTCAAAAACTCGGCCTCCGAATTTGGGTTACGATAGCGTGCATCTTCTAGCGCATATCGAGCTTTTGCACCACAAAATTGCATTACTCATAAGTTTTACGCGTTTTACCTTGCGAGATGGGTTGCAATCGGCTGTATGCGCTCCTAATGAATAAAATGTAATAAATGAGAGCAGAGTTATTTATGGACATGAGCGTGGTCAGGGAAAAGGACACAGTGCCTAACTAGTGCCTGCCGCCCCTACAAAGAACAATTGAGCTGCCCTCCGTCAGAAGGAATCTAGCAAGTGGGCTGTCCAGCTGGGTGGGCGCTAGAACTAGAACTATCAACGGCTGTAGCTCGCTCCTCGCTACTGTGCAGTCGCGAGAGTGGGACAGTCTTTTAGCTTGGGGGCAGTACTAATTGCACAAGGAAGGACGACCATGTACTACTTGAGCGTGGAGGCTGTCTTTAAAGCTCAAATCGCACAAGTACTTCTTAATTTGGCTCGGATTTTGCTTGCGTAGGCGGCGATTCTCCTTGCGGGAGCCAGAACGCGCGGTGCTTATTGGCGTTGTAGAGGCGGCGATTCTCCTTGTGGGAGCCAGAACGCGCAGTGCTTATTGGCGTTGTAGAGGATCCAACTCTCGTCTCCAGTAACCAAGTCGGCGAGAAACTCCTTGCGCTGGGGGCGGAGGAGTAGTGACTGACAGATGGCAACCCGAGTCAACCGCGCATTCTCAGTCAACACATGAGGGATCCATCGTGCCAGCACTTCCTGTACCCGAGAGCGTGAAGGACTGTTGGTTAAGTACACCAAAGTCTTGTCGCAAGACTGCGGGTGCTGAGTTCCGGATCCTCCTTGACGGCGTCGAGAATGGCGAAGTCGTCGAATGTGTGGGGGCGTCCCGACCGAGGCTTATCTTCGAAATTCGTGTCTTCTTCTTCGAAGCGAGCGAACCAGCGCTTGACCGTGCTAAGAGAAGTGGTGCCTTCTCCCAATGTGCTGTTGATGTTTTGAACGGTTGCCGTCGCTTCGTTCCCGCGAAGCCATTCGTAGTCGATGACGTGTCGAATTAGCTCTTGTGTGATTGCCATCGTGATTAAAGCTATAGGAGGCAGCCCAGCTTTATATACCCATTATGGAGAAGGTTCGAGAATGTTCTACAACTACCACTTGCTTGGTCATCGATATCGACCAAGATTTCAAAGTTCTCGAAATTTCAGAAAATTGAGTCATCTTTCTTTATCACCCTAATACTTATAATGGGTTGAACGATTCCAGTATTTTAACTTTGAACTCACACACACAGAATACCTAATGGCCTACTGAGTACAAGAGAGGGCTCACTGGATTAGCTTATTCGAAAAGGTCCATCCCAAAGAATGGGGAGTTGTTAGAGGTCGCGGAATGATTCCACATCATCGTTGAGCACCACTCTCAATTGATGGGAGAGGTTCATAGTCGGTGGATAGGTGTTGCAGGCAGTCCATTCATAGGGCCCCAGGCAATTCATATCTGTATTCCATCCATATTCCCATCCCTTGATCGCTTCAACTAACTTCCTGCCGTTCTAGAAAGATACGTTCCTCGTACATATCATCACATGTTTTGAGCTTCTTCTGTAATTTGGTATAAAATGTAGAAAGTTGCTGTCAAAAACTCACATTCACCACGGTCCGCCACTCCATTTACATGAAATAGAAATCGACAAAAATGAGGAGCGTCAGGAAGAAGAAATCGACAAAAATGAGGAGCGTCAGGAAGACAATTTCACTGCATTGCATGCGGAAAATTGTCCATCAAATGACATAGAAGTATTGGAAACCATTCTCGCCTTTCATATAAAATTTTGTGTACGAAAAAACCGTCAGTTTTTATGGGCTATTTATGAAGCTCACAGAGTGTACGTATCAGTTATTCTATTACAACGGATGGCCTTACCCATGTAGTGCAACTAGAATTCACTAAAAATGGTACGTGACATTGCTAAGGGTTTCCATCACTACTCGTTCATTCGTCACTACCACTCACCACTTGAACTCACTGCTCCCACGACCTCGTCCTTGTTGATGATCTCGAGGGATAGTACCTTGATAGCATGCGATTTAAGTTCTATCCTTTCCAATGGAATGTTCTTCGTTCGATGTGACACAGCGGCTTCTAGAGCACCTGGCGCCTTGTTTTGTTCAAGCGGACCACGAGGCGGCGGGAAAGCGCACTCAAGGTAAGAGGGGTGCAAGTTCTACAGTTTGAATAATCTTGGCAGAGTTTTCTGAGAATGCACAACACATGGCTCGGAAAACATTCGATTTCATCATATACATCCCAACTGAAGGCAATGTGTGCGGTTACGAGATTTCGAGACGTTTCCTCGAGCACAAGAAACGTGAAAAGAGCGCCAATCATTTGTATCGTAGCGTGACCTGCACCCTAAGCACAGAGCTACCGCACCCTTCCCGATCCAACCAGCTTCGACAAGACAGAAATAGACAAGAAATGATGAATATTCTAATCATGAAAGTGCGTCAATTGGGGGAGAAGAGAGCTGGTATTGTTGTGATATCAGCAAACAATGGCTCATCCTAATACGATCTATTTGCTTCAAGATCGCTCAATCCTAAAAACTAGGAAAGTCTGAAATAGAGCGTTTCTGCGTTTACCTTTGTCTTTTTTGTTTTCGTAGTACGCCGCCTGACCTTCCTACTTCGCGATCGTCATTACCCTATTTTGCCATTCATTTCATTCATTTATTACATGCTCAGTGACATGTGACTACAATCAGCTTACACCAAGTTCAGAATTATCAATTTGAATCCTTAGCAAGCATTTAACACCGCAAAGAAATTG